GACGACAGAGATGGCTTTTCCTTGCCATTTGCTAATACTCGTGCCCAGCCTTGGATATTAGATGCTGAGCACTCAACTCCCAGGGGGGCTGCTGTTCTTATTTGCCAAAGCTAAAGTAGGAATGACCCCGCAAGCATCAAAAATGAAGAGAAAGTGTTCAAGTAGAAATGAATATAAACAGTAAACATTTTCCTCTTTACTATTAAATCCCAATATAGTAGCACATTTATAATATTTCCCAGGGAGCTTTTTAAGGGAAAAGATGTGGAGACAAATTGGGACGGTTTCCCTGAGCCTAGGACAGGAACTGAGGCCAGCATCTCTCTGGGACTAGGAACACCTGTTTGGGTGAAGCGTCACGGGTGGAGCTGGGAAGGGTGTCTCCACCGACAGCAGCTGTAGCTCTTCCTTTCTTTCGAGTGTGCTCATTCGCCCAGACTCAGAATGTATTTTTCTATAATTGAAAGATGATCCAAATGCCTGTCCAGCTCTCCTCGCAATGCTGAGCTGTCAGTGGGAGGCATGAAGGTGAAGAGCTCACAGGACGGTTCTCAGTCGCCCAGGTGAAGGCTGAAAAGGGGTGAAGTGCAATTTCCAGCAGATACGTTACACTACCAGATGACACAGCTTTAGCCACTGACTGTTGCTGCTCGCCTGACCACTATGAAGCCTCCTAAACTGGCCTACCAGCCACATTCTGCTCTCCACCCAGCAGCCAGAAGGATCTTACAACCCAAATCTGAGCTTGTCACCACGTCAAACCCTCAACTGCTTTCTCTGAAGCATAGAATAAAGTCCCAACTTCTCACCATGGCCTCCGGAGCCCTGCTGGGCTGTCCCTCCCCTCCATCGTGTCCCTCACCCACCCTGCTGCTCACACCCCCAGACCTGATCTGTCAGGACCCAGCCCTGACAAAGGGCCATTTTGCTCTTGCTTTTGCCCTTGCTGTGCCCCCTGCCCTCCTTTGGAGATCCGATAGCAGGTCACGTTTTAGAACTCAGAGAAGCCTATAGGACATATGAGGCCTCCTCTGGGCACACTGTCTACCGCAGGTCCTTTCCTGTAGATCTCTATCTCCTTTGGACTCGTCTGTCTCCACCATTTATCTCCAGCGCCTGGCATGTCTGAAGGCTCAGGAGGTGCTGAGGGAAGGGAAGGGCACAGGAGATCGGGAACGCGGCCGGCTGGCGTTCCGATATCATCTCTGCCCTACTCATCAACTGCTGTCAAGGATTCAGCAGTGGCTTTTCCATAATTTTTAGGGAAAGCACCGGCAGAATTCCATCATCCAAATGTTGAGTTCTATTGCTCCACTCCCAGCCCTGCCTCTCCAAGC